AAGATGTTCAGATAAAGTGCTATGGGAGCTCTGAGAACAAATTTTCCAATACAGAATTAAGATCAGCTTCTTGGAGGATGAGCTGAGTCTGGAAGGATTTAGATATGCAATTGTAGCTCAACAAGTATTTATTGAATGCATTGCAAAAAGGGTAGTATATACAGTCAGTAGGCTGATTTGTCGTTTGCCGTTAAACTCCCTTTAATCCTGTCATGCAATAGTTACTTTATTTTCATCTTTCTACTCCAAATGTTCCTAAAACAACTCATGATAGCCTAAATTTTTGGTAGCCACCTTTGGTCTAAAACAAATGTCACCAAGCTCTAGGCGCCATGGGATCTCTGTTATAACTACTCATCTCTGCTGTTACAGCGTGACCGTAGCCATAGCCGGCAGGTAAATGGTGAGTGTGGCTCTGTTCACATAAAACTTTGTTTACAAAAAGAGGCAGCAGGCCGGATTGGGCCCTACAGATGGCAGTTCACCAATCTCTGGGCTATATAGCATGGGTTTACTGACATATTGATCCAAAGAAAATACTTCTGCTACCCGATATTCATAGAAACGGTACTATTAACAAATAGTGGATTTAGGATTCCTACTGGGCCAAGCACCCAGCTGTCCAGAACAGTAAAGGATCTGAGATTTTAACCTACTTGAAAGCAAATAAGTTAGCCTGACAGTCTCAAGGCTGTACATGTGTATGTGTTTGTGTGTGTATAGAAAGGTGTCCCTTGTATTCTTATCAGAGATCACAGGGAAAAGAAAAGGGGAGAAAACTGATACTGAACTAAAAATAGAGATGCCTCCAATCTTAAACTGACCAAATTTTCAGATACCTTTGTGATTATTCACTATTCTAGAATTTTTAGAGTTTCCCAACGCTCAAATGATCTATAACGACCCTTACATGGTAAGAGACGGCCCATGCTGTTCGCAGTATGCAACTCTTGGAAATAGAGGTAGGTGCCCTTAGACTTATTTGATCAAGGTCAGCAGGCAGAGTTGAAACAACAAAGTCCTAATTTTAAATATTTTTCTTCCAAATAAGAGCTCATGTATTTATTAAACCGACCTACTAGCAAAGAAGCCTAAAAACAGGAGTCTTGATTTTTTTGTTTTGTTTTGTTTTTTGTTTTTCCCCCAATCTGTCCTGTCGTGCCGTTCGTGTTGTGTTTTTTCTTTTGCTGTGGTGGGGTGGTGTTGTGGTTAGTTTTGTGTTGGCTCATGAGCTGCGTCCTGTGCTGTTCCTTTCGTTGCGTTTTGGTTTTTTTCTTCTGTGGTGTCTTGTCTTTGCGCTTGACCTTCCTTTCCTTTTCGTTTCCATTCCAGGGGAGGATGGAATGGTTCCGTTTCTGTTTTGTTTCGTTTTGGTTTTTGTTTTTGAGGTGTTGGCTTAGTTTCCGGGCTATTTTATTGAAGTGAAAAATGTATTTCCTTTCCTTGAAGCACAGTTTTTGAACATATACATGGGAGATACATACATTTTCACATGCGTACAATGTGTAATGATGAAGTCCGGGTATTTAGGGTATCTAGCCACCTCGATTAGAGTTAACAACGATATGTTGTGTATTTGAAAAGTGTGTTACTCTGCTCTGGAATCACTTTGGGGGCTTTCATATGTTGCTATGGCAGTGTGGTAGGGAGTATGGAGAAAACAGGATCACTATCGGTCCTTGCAAAGGAGCTGCACCAACAGCAGGGGCATCCGCTGCACCATACCCTCGTATGAGCAGGATACGTGAACTTGAGAGTAGTCTGGTCCATGGCGTGCAGAACACTAATGGCTAAGAGCTGAAGGTGTCCTGTGCCACCTAGCTCCTTCCAAGAGCACGTTTGCACCTGTTGTAAACACTTACTGCATGCAAACAGAAAGGTGCATGGGTGTGAATGGCCGATGCATGACACAGTGCGTGTTTTCACTTCAAAAGACTTTTTCTTCCATTCTACCACACTAACCCCTTTGGAATCATCTACCTATAACTGTATCACTTGAGTCATTTTTAAACTTAGGACCTTTTGGAACTAAAGACTGCTGATTCATTTGACAGGCAGCAAACGTGTCCCTGACTGTGCACAGACATTTTTCAAGCATGCCCCTGTTCATACATATGGGCATCAAGATTCCTGGAAAATGCTATGGGTACATTTCTCTCCTGCCTCATGCAAGTGCTAGAGACGATTTGGCAGTGAGAAAACAAATCTGTGGCAGGCACCAGGTCTTAAGTTTTATTTTCACCACGCCTGTACTTTGTTCCGCTTTTAGCAGCAGCCTGATGTCAGTCACATTTATATCAGATGAAAACCTGAATTTTTCATATTAATTAAAGTTCAATGGATTTCTTATAAAGAATACATGAAAAGATAAGCCGTGATGGGGGTGAGGGGGAGAAGTCGCGTGGGGTGGATTTTCTGCAGATTAACTGTGGTTGAGTTGAGCTTCCCTCCCGGGTTTTCTGGACAGATTCCAAATTTAGGAAAGAGATTGACAAACAAGGTTACCTTCTCCTGCATGGATGTTTTTTCTCTTAGGCAGAGGAGCACAAATGACAGAGAATAAATGTTTGCAATGAGTGTCATAGACAAGTTCACATGTGTGTACGAATGCACACGTGTGTGTTTACTGTGGTTCTCCCATGCAATAACACAAATTTGTGCAAAAAAAAAAATGGACTAACCAAGCTGCTCTGTGTACACGTATCTCTGGCGGTGTAGGACAGGAGGCATTAAAGTCTATATGATCAAAGTCTCTATTCCAGCTATAACGGGTATCTGTGATTGGAGGTCTGAAAATGCGATCCAAGCAGTTCTGCTAAGTTACTAGATCATCACCATGTTACTGGTGGGATCCATCTGAGTTCAATTATTTTTAAACTCCTAAGTGGAGATTTTAAGGCAGAGGTCCTCAAACTTTTTAAACGGAGCCAGCTCACTGTCCCTCAGGCTGTTGGAGAGTGTGGTGCATATTCCATACATGCGCACTGTGGGCCCGGGATGAGTAGGCTGCTAAGCAGGACAGGCAGCATGCGGCAAAAACACCCTGTGGGTCGCATGTGGCTTGAGGGCCGTAGTTTGAGGATGCCTGTTTTAAGGTATTGGCAAACAAAGACATAGATGAGGAAAAAAATCAACACCATGGAGCCCACGTACAATCTTACTGAAAAAGTAAATTTGGACTCAAAAGAAATTCGTAGCAACAAATCTCATTGAACCGCCTGTTACGCATTCTGACAGTTTGTAAAATCTACCACCCTGAGTAGGGGAGAGAGACGGTCTTTGTCCTTGATCTGGTCTCCTCCGGTTTTCTTCCCAGAGGGTTTCCCAGAGAGTCACCTACTACAGGACGTACCCAGTGTCCCTGCGCCTTGGGACGCGTCCGTTGACGAGTGCCTAGAGCTTCCTGCTTTGACAAATGCTGCTATCAGTTACTGCTTATTTTATTGGTAGCAATATGCCTGCTTTATCCGTCTCTGTCTCTTTATGCTTGAACTGCTGATGAGGAGACAATTACCTCGAGTTAGAAGAACCTAAATTAATCTTTCACACTGCGCTTTTGGTGCAGTGCTTCCGTCTGCAAAAGGCCCATTTCCCCACATGGAGTGTGAGCTTTCATGGTCTCCTTTCCCGAGGTTTTGCTTGCTTATTTGATCACTGGGTCTCACCATTGTGGACTTAAATTGTGGACGTTAAATTCTTAAGACCCAGTGTGGCACTTGACGGCGAGTCTCTAATGCTGGCACACGAACTGGTGGTAGTGCACATAAGGGAAATGTAGGACAGAATGTACATTGCCATTATCGAAGCATTAACAAAAACATAAATAGGATCATGTTAGCATTTTTTTGGGGTTTTGCTTTTTGTTTTTTTGTTTTTTACCACTATCACGGTGGGATTTAAGATTCTTTGATGCAGCGACTGACATAAAACCAGTAAACGTTAAGAATCACAGCTCTGGTCACTGAGCAATGTGGTTTCGCTAGAAGCCACCAGCCTTCCTTGTCACGACCATTCTTACCCTCACATTTCAGTTGTAACTCTACTGTCCTGATACCAGGAGGAATGACTTGCCCTGTCCCTGTGCTTTTGATAAGACTCAGCACGGTCTGAGGACAGCGACTCCGAAGTGCTTCTCTCCTGGAAACCACATACACTCACCTGCGCTGATTTCGGTCACTTTTCAAATGCCCCAAACCTGCATGCATTGGGGCAAAGGGTAAAATGGCCATGTCAATATGCATATGGGGCTCGGGGTCACAGTCATTACCTTTTGCTTTTTTTTTGTTTTTTGTTTTTTCTGTTTTGATTTTGAGTTACGCTCTGTCGCTTTTTTTTTTTTTTTTTTTTTTTTTTTTTTTTTTTTTTCAGTTGTGTTTTTTTTGTTTAGGACCCGAACGACTCGCCTCCCCCCTCTCCTGTGGTGTGGGGTGTCGTCTCCTCCTTTCCCTTTCATGTTGGCCTTGCGTTGAGTCGGGCACGGTCCCGCCTGGCCTGGGCGGAGGGGGCGAGGCGCGGGGCGGGGCTGGGCTCGCCGCGCTGTGTTCTGTTGGTGTGCTTGGGGTCGGGGCCGGGTCCGGCCCCCCCGCCCGGGATTGGGTTGGGTTTTTGTTTTGTGTTGTGGTAGGGTTGGCCTGGGATGGGGTGTAGGTTGGCTGGCTACGCTTCCTGTGCTGAGGCGAGGCTTCCCTTTGTTTTGTTTGGGGGGACGGCGCCCAGCTGCGCTCCCCCCGCCCTTGTCTTTTCTTTGCAGTCCTTGGCTTGTCGTTTGCGTTGCGTTGCGTCCCCTTCCCTTGAATGGCCTGGCCTGGCCTGCACGTTAGCTCGCTTCCTTCGCAGGCAGGGAGTGAGGGCTGGTTGGTTCCTTCCTTCCCGCCGGACTCACCCACACCCTGATGAAGCAAGCCCTTGAGTTCCCTCCACCCTGCCCGGGGTGTGGCTGCAGGACCAGCTGAGCCCTCGGGCCGCTGCCACCACTGCCTTCCTGGGCCTGGGCCCCAACTGGTGTTAAAACCTGTACATACTCCTGTTCACTTGACCAGCAAGAGCCAGGCTGTCTTACGCCCCAAGTCTTGCTCCCCAACGCAGCAGTAAGAAGCTGTCCCACTTAAAAAGGAGGGGTGCCAAGGCCCCCTCACCCCCCTCCGCCAACTTGTTCTTGGCTAGGGAGCTGCTCTTGGTGACAGTGTCTGCGTGGGTCTGGTACCCAGTGATGGTCTTTGCGGAGAGGCCCAAGTGCTCTTTGTATACACGCCCGATGTTGCAAGATGACTTCTGGTTTCCCGCCTCCCTGGTCCACACAGCGACCTTGTCCCTGTTGGCGTGGATGCCAACAATGGCCCCACAAACCCTGTTGCCGCGTTCCCCAGAGCTCTGCCCTGTCGGACACAGCAGCGTGTCCAGCCACAGCTGGTCCAGCTCACTGCGGCGCTGCTGCTTGGCCAGGCTGACCAGCCAGCGGCCACCCCGCCTATTCCTGCCGTCTTCCCACCTGGGCCCCATGCCATCCTGGAACAGGGCGTAGTCACAGCCAGAAGAGAGCTTGCTGTGGCCAGCTTCATCCACGGCGGATAAAGTAGTCAACTCCTGGTAAGATTTCATGGAGCACGTTAATATTCCCACGTTCTCTAAATTGCTGAGAGGGTTTCCTTAAAAATAATAAATGTCCCCCCATAATACACCGAAATAAATAATAATAATAATAAAATAATAATAATAATGTGATTTAACGTTGTATAAGTAAAAGACACCAGAAAGAAGGAAGGGAGAGTGTAATGAAGTAGGGAAATAGCTTAGCAGGGGTATATAAGGAAAAAAGGAGTGGCATAGGAATCGTATAACCATGCAACTTGGTTGAGGTTATAATTTTAAAAAATCCAATAAATGATTGGATTTAATAAAATGCAATATGTTAAATGGGTAGAAAAATATAAGTTTCATAGTGTTTTATCACCGGTGCATATTACTTGAGAAATGATTTGCAAACCCCTTCGTACTTTCCCCTCTCTCGGTTACATCTAACTTTTGTACACAGCCTTCCTGATTAGAATTGACTAAAACAATCATAACTGAACCAACTGATGAATTCTGTAGAGATAAGACCTGTTCTCAAATACTGAAGGTCAAAATACACATTCCTAATACAAAAATAAATTTAAGTCGAACAATTTTGAGTACTTACTATGTATCTGTCACCGAATCAGCTAGGCTAATGCTCTCTTAGTACGCAAAATAAAGGTTGACTTCCCAAGGAATAGTAAAATTAAAATGTGTAGGATGAATATGAATTTAAGCCTTTAAAAAATCATGGTGGTTGTTTGTACTGATTTATGCTATAATAGCAAGTGTTCGAATGCTCAGTGATAAATTTGAATAAACCCTCCCCTCATGAATCTGCTAAACTTGCTATGAATCACAAGGAACAGGACACCAATGCCTTCCTTGACTTTAATAGTGAAAGACATGACTCAAATGGTTTATTTGATAATAATTGAAAACCTTGGTATTGAGCAAATTTATTTTCTACCATGAGAGATGTTTTATGGAACAAATGCAATACGTTTTCTAATCCGTCATTCAAAGGCAATTTTCATTCATCAATATGGAATGCACTTTTCTTCCTAACATTGCTCTTCTTTTTGTTAGAAAAAGAGTAGAGAAAAATCTCTAAAATTGCATATCTATTTTCCTACTTTCTGATTGACCAAATGAAAATGATATTTTTATGTCTTTTTTTTTTTTTCTTTCGGGAGGGGGAAGCTAACTGCTTCTATATGGTTTCCTTAATATCTGTGTGGTGGTGATGGAAGGTCAGATACATATAATAAATGGGACAGGTCAACTTGGCTGACAAGGAATGTTGTTAAAATGAAACCAGGTATTTGCAGCCAAGAAAACAATGATGGGGAGATTTCTTGTTTAAACTTTATTCAGCATCACAGCTATAAACAGAGTTCCCTCTCTTTGTACCCTCTTCTGGTTGCAGTAGGAACAATGCTCTGAGGAGTGAGGAATTGAACGAGCCACTTCATTCCTGAAAACATCTATAAAAGCCAAACGGGATTCTTACTCTGGTTGAGGATGCTAGTTGGACGTTGATGGCCACCCTTTATTTTCTGCCTACTGTGTATCCGCCTCATTTTAGTTCTGTGGTCATCTCTCGCTTCTAGTTTTACTGTCCCGTTAGAGATGATCAAAGGAGGATTCAGACAGATTTAAATGATACACCCCCACGAAAAATGATCAGTAACTTCTGAAGGATTCTAGCAGACGGCTCCATCCCAAAGGATGAAGACAGACCATGTTCTCCAATTGCCGCCTTAGTGGATGGAGTCCTGGGTTAGCCCACCTGGGAAAGGTCGTGTTCCCTAAAAGGACTCTATAATTTAGAGCGGGGCCAATTTAATGAAACAAAAACAGGAAGAAAAATGTCACATTATCAGGTTCCCAAAAACTGTGGTCCCCAACCCCTGGATGGCAGACTCGTGCTGGCTGGTGGCCTTGTGGGCTCCGCCTCCTGTCAGGTCAGCGGGGTCATTGGATGCTCCTAGGCGTGGACCCTATTGTGGACTGCACATGCGAGGGATCTAGGTGCTGTGCCACTTAGACTCTGGTGCCTGATGCTCTTGGGTGTAGCCACGATAGTGGCGCCAGGAAGTGCAGGTTGTCACTGGGAGACAGGTTTGACTGCTCATTGAATGTGGTGTGCTTCGGTCATCCTTGGACCCCACCCACCCCCCGGTCAGTGGGAAGATTGTCTTCCATGAAGCCGGTGTCTCCTGCCAAAAAGGTTGGGGACCATTGCTCTAAAACATACATTGGCAGTGTTGGGGGAAAGAAAATCACTGTCAAGAGTTAGTAAGAAAACAATGGATGGAGGTGTATTGGCATCTTATTTGAAGCTCGCTTTTTCTAGATACTGATAACAAAGATAATCTAACTTTTTGAAAAGATATGCTGTATATATGTTTTAAAAAATGCCATCGGTAATATAATGTAAATATTTTGTTTTTGGTGCTGAAACCCAGGTGTGTGTGAGAAAAATCAGAAATGATACCTGCATCTTTGGCAATCTTCACCATAGTTTGAACAAATTGAATAAAGGCATTAAAAAATCACTAGGCTTCATTTTAAGGATATTTCTCAAGATTGTGTTTGTTCTTCATGCTGTGTTTTGTGGTGAGTTTTTCTGTTACATGAATGAGAACTATGGACTTGTAAAGATTCTTTTAAGGAAGTCTGATACTAAAAAAAAAATACCACTCGATCTTTTATTCCATTAAATGTCAAAAGTCTTCTTTAAAGATGTAAATATTTTATAGGATTAACCCTTCAAAATAGGGATCTATAGGAAGCATAGACCCTGTTTCTCTGACGGGGAAACTCGGAAAACTGACATTAGAATGACTTTTAATTGAGAGCAAACCTCCCAAAAGATAAAAATCTCATTTTTTAGTCTGAATTGTTTGCCAACAATTGAGTTAAGCCTTATATCAATTGGGAAGATACTGAATCTTGTTTTCTTCCCTGTATGTATCAATTAATAGCTTGCAAGTGGCATAACTTAAGCAAAAAAGCCAGAATTTATTTTTAAAACAGTCTTTCTCTTGGAATTTGAGGGGGAAAAAATAGGACCGACTAGGCTCAAAAAATTGAAGCAGGTTAACAAAAAACAGAATCCTGTCTTCATCTCAACACTCAGCTGCTCTGTTTTTCCTCTTCATACCCTCCCCCATGCTCCCTCCCATCCCCCATCTCAGTGAAGTCATGCTACCTTTCTGTGGTCCGTGTGAGAAGACTCGTGACCTGTAACACTCAAGCTATTTCTCTCAGCTACAGTGACTTGAGAAACACCATGTTGACATTGAGTCCTAAATCCAGCTTCCTTCTAGGATACAAGGGCTGAGCTTGAAGCCAGTGTGAGTCAGAGGCTGCTTCTGAACTGATCAACCTATCAAGAAGTGCGTAAGGTCATGTGTACAAAAAGGATCCCATTCTCCTCCATGTGGCTATCCAGTTTTCCCAGCACTGTTTATTGTATAGAGCTTCTTTTCCCCAGAGTGTATTCTTGTCTGCTTAGTCAAAGATCGGTTGACTGTATGTGGGTGGTTCTATAGCTGAGTTCTCCATTCTGTTCTATTGGTCTATGTAACCTTTATTTGTGTCTATGCCATGCTGTTTTGGTTACTGTAGCCTTGTAGCATAGTTTGAAGCCTGGTAATGTGATGCCTCCAGATTTGTTCTTTTTGCTTAAGATTGCTTTGACTATTGGGGCTCTTTTCTGGTTCCAAACAGAGTGTAGAATTATTTTTTCTAGATCTTTGAAATATGACGTAAGTGGGCAAAAGACATGAACAGAAGCTTTTCAAAATAAGACAAGTGGCCAATAAACATACGAAAAAATGCTCAATGTCACTATCAGGCAAATGCAAGCTAAAACATGAGATACCGCTTTACCCCAGTTAAAATGGCTTTTGTTAAAAATTTCAAAAGCAATACATGCTGGTGTGATGCGCAGAGAGGAAATCCTTTACACACTCTTGGTGGGACTACAGCCGCTATGGAAAAATGTATGGCAATTCCTCAACTAAAAATAGACCTACCGTTTGATTTAGCAATTCCACCACTAGGTATTTACCCAAAAGAAAAGTCATTTTATCAAAAAATGGATGCACACCCAAACGTATATTGCAGCACAATTCACAATTACAAAGATGTGGAATCAACCCAAGTGCCCATCAATTCATGAATGGATTAACAAAATGTTAATCTAAATATATATAGCATGGAGTACTACTCAGCCATGAAGAAGGATGAATTAAGGCCTTTTGCAACAATCTAGATGGAACTGGAGACCATTATTCTAAGTGAAGTATCTAAAGAATGGAAAAGCAAACACCATATGTACTCACTGCTAAACTGAACTGAGGAGCACTTGTAAGCAAAGAGAGAAGTAAAACTCAGTGGAAATCAAGCTTGGAAGAAGGGGGTGAAAAATCTACCTAATGGGTACAACAACACTATCTGGGTGATAGGTGTACTTACAACCCAGACTGAAGCGTAACAAAATTGATCAATGCAACCAAAAACATTTGTTACCCCTGTAATATTTTGAAATTTAAAAAAAAGGAAAAAATCACACTAGTATGTCTGAATAGAGATTATTATAATTCCCCAAATTGGGGAGTAGACGTCAGGGGGGGAAAGTCCCCAGATCGTGACTATTGTGTGAATTTAAATGACTTCCATTGTCAACCATGGATACTTACCCCACTGACGTGCCCTCCCTTCCCTCCACACCTTAAGCTGTATAGGCCAGTGCTGTTGACTTGCCACAAATCAACCAATTTAAGATGAACTCTGCTTGGTTCAGTTGTTTTCAGAGTTTGGATCCACAGAGCATTCCAACTGTACTTGGCAGGAGTCACTGAGTACACTTAGGGAAGCTGCCAAAATGTGCAGAGTGTCTTTGGCAGAAGAAAAAAACCAGATGGTCCCATCAAATGGATCGTGTTTCATGGGCACTAAATTAGATGCAGAAGGAAGAAAGCGGTCTCTACCTGGGGGAATATGTTTTAAAAGGTTGGAGAGTTCAGATATCG